GCAGATATACAGGAACGGCACCGATGAGCAACGCCGTGCAATGATGAAGTCGTTCTTGGAGAGCAACGGGACAGTTCTGTCAACAAATTGGGAGGACGTGGGAAAAAGAGAAGTGAAGACGGAACCCCCCACTGGAATGGTGGCGAAGCCCTACAATGAATGAGACTTCTGCAGAAAAAGGAGAGGGGGAAGTAAGATGAGATAAGTATGAATGATCCTTTTTTGACGCCATTTTCTTTAATTAGACTTTTATTTGTCTTTTTATTGGCGTTTTATTTTTACTTTGTCATCTTCCATTTTGATACCATTTTACTGTTTATTATTATTATGATTATGATTATTATTATTATTATTATTATTATTATTATTATGACCGTTGTTGGGCTTGAACGTCTGTGGCTGTCAGAACCAACTATTGCGGGATGTGGGTGGGTAAGGGTTCATGTTTTCTCCTTTCCTTCTTTCTCTTGTTCATCTTCAAGAGCTTCTCGTTCCGCAGTTTGCAAGAGGTGTGTCCAATTGGGCAATATACCCGAGTAGGTGGACAGACGAATTTTTTTGGCGGAAATTGGGGTTGGAGTAATGGAACCGCTTTACTGCTGCCAGGAAGAGCAAACCAGCCCGGGGCCACAAAGGCTCCCTCGCGTGAAGGACCTGCGCGGATCAGAGGAGGAGGTCTTATATTTGGACAAGTGCCGAAGGCGGTGCGTGGAGGAGGGGCTAGAAAACAATACGGTTCGTCGCGCGGTATGGCGTCATGTGGTGCTGGGCCTCGACAGGCCGATGCGCGTGCCTTGTGTCCAAGAGAGCCGCTCCGAGGGAAGTAGTCAAGGCCCATCCAGCGCAACGAGTGTGGACACGCCAAGGCTGAGAACCACTGCCATAGAAACGGAAGAATGCGTCCAAAGTGGTAAAAAAACGGTAGACTTGAAGAAATCTTTAGACAACTGCGACTTGCGTGTCATTCAGGTGGATGTGCAGAGATCACTTTGGTTGCTATATCGCGACCATTCAAAGCGGGAAATCATGCGTGATGTTTTGAAGAACCTATTGCAGCATGTGCTTTTAAATAATAGTGAGCGGCACTATTATCAAGGGTTACACGAGCTGATGGGCTTTGTTATGTACGTTATGGAGGGGGCTTCGATGAATGTGTTGGTTGCCGTCTGTGAGAGTCTACTTCGAGTACAATGGAAGTCTTTCAGTGACAAGAAACTGAGGCAGTCCGAGTCGATGCTCTACGCTGTTCATGCAGTGCTGGCAGAAGAGGACGTGGAACTTGCCACCACATTGGAGTCCTGCGGTGTCGCTCCCGAGTCACACTACATTGTTGGATGGCTTATCACGTGGTATACGCACGTTTGTGAGGATACGAAAGTCGTTGCCCGTCTGTTTGATTTTCTTATTGGCCACGCGGATGAGCACACAGTCATATTCTTTACCGCCGCTTTGCTGCTACACGAGAAGGAACGCATCATGGGGTACGTCCGAGAGGCACGCGCAGGTGCCGAGGATGATGATGACAATCTGACGATCATGGCCAACGTGTACAAGCAACTCACACGACTCCCAAAGGAGGTTTTAACGACTAGGAATTGGGTGGCTTTTGGGGAGATGTTGCGTCACACCGTTGCACTTCAAGGGAAGCACTTGGCGTGCGTTAAGGAAGCGCGGGAGGAATTTCTTCGGGGTAATGTGAAGAAACGTGGGATGCTGGCAGACGAACGAACACGAAACTCCGCACTGAAGCTTTTGTGGTCCTTCTTGTTCCGTGAGTGGCGCAAGCCCTGGAAGGGTAAGCATATATCAGTGCCTTTAATGGGCGCTGTGCTCTTCGGTGTGTTTGCCGTGGCACTGAGCTTGACAACTTGTGATTCTGTTCAACGTATTATGCGGACTTATTTCCCTTTCGATGAGTGATGCGGGGCCAGGATGCAACCGATGGACTGCGCTTGTCTTCCTGTGGTTGTGGGTTCCTGATGACACTCCCTGTGCCATAAAGTGACAATCGTGCGTGCGCAATCATTTGCTTATACACATATATGTGTGAGTGGATCAAAGGCAAATTTAAACTACTCTTTTGCTCTTCTTTTTTTTTTCTGCGTGTTTTCTTTATATTTAGTATAAATATGCATGCATACATATTTTATATACGCATACACACTGCTGCCCTTTTTCTTACCTGTATTTGCCTCTTTCTTGGAAGCTGTGAAGGTGGAATGCAGACAAGAATGGTAACGTCTAATCCCTTTGAGCACCTGGAGACCGGTAACTGGAAGGCCTGGCGGTTACTGTGCCTCCCTTCGCGAGCGTCACGCCCCTTGTCTAATTGAATAACGCTTTTTTTACCCTTACATTATCCTCCGAGAGTGAGAGAGGTGGTGGAATAACGGCGGCATGACTTCACTTTGGAAAATGTTGATTGTTTGAGAAGCGGTTTGCTTTTTTTGCAGCACAACGGTGCGACTGTTTGAGTGACTTATATGGCGATGGAGCAGGATGAGTAGTTGGTGTACATGCAACGCACGGCGGAGACTGTCTTGCAAGCGTCGGCGACGCAACTTGCCACAGAGAGTCTTCTTTGCGGCTGATTTTGTGGCTGGTGAACATGCTATTCTTTTCTATTCCTGTTTTTGGTTTTTGGAGGTCGGAGATAACCCAATTTGCGCAGATTCACCTTTCATTCACTTGTTTTTTTTTTGTTGTTGTTGTTGTTACAGGAAAAGAAGGGAACTGAGGTGGTGAGTGGATTGGGTTGGGTTGTGTCCATGCGCGGTGAGATGGGGCTGCTGGTTGTGGCTGCGCCGCTGACTTGGTGGCCCCCGGCTGATGAGCTTCACCGTCACCCGCTTGACGCATGCCGCACATTCTTTTCCGCCATTACAAGTGCTGGTGTTGCTGTTGGAGCCGCGGATCGCGTGGTGGCCCTCTCACGTGTCGGCACGAGCGTCATGTTCTCCGGCATCCTTGAAGGAACTTTTGTGCGGGTTTATAACCCGTTCGGCGGTGTGGAGGTCACTCTGGCTGTGCAAGCGACGCTCAGTGAGCAAGCGCTTGCTTCTGGAGCTTCGCTGCGGATTCTTGCGGAGGCGGACCGTGTGCGTGTCGAAGCGGCGGCTGTAGAAACGGGTGTTGTGCTGCGTCCTTTAGCGGAAGCAGGCCACATTCTTGGCGAGAGGCACGCCGCAGCGGCTGTGCTTCACATCCTCCACTATCTGCAGCGGGCACGGAAACCGGGTGTATGCTCCGTCCTTTTTACTGGCGAGCATGGTGTCGGAAAGACCTACACGATGCGGCGCGTTGCCCAGCACTTTCCGTCTGTTGTTGATGTGCAGGGCGTTCAACACTTTTTGGAGCGCCGTGATGTTGATATTGCCCGTCTGCTTCAGATGAGCGATCGGGAGGCTTTGACGATGATCCGCTGCATGTTTGCCGTTCCACCTGTGGAGTCGTCAAACGGTGCCCATGCCGTCCTTCTGCTATTGACAATTGATGCTGTTGATTTGCTGTGGGCGGACGCTAATTTTTTGGTTTCGCTCGTGTCGCACCAGCTGTGCGCTGTGCTTGAGGAACTGAACGAACCGACACTAACGGCACAGACTCAGTTTCACGCCGTGGTGCTTGCCACAGCCACCACCACCACTTCCCTCCCCAGTGCACTTTTAACGCGCCTTTCCTCACGAGTTGTTCACGTCACACACCCGTCGTTGCAGGAACGACTAAGTTGCATTGAAATGCATAGCGGTTCGTCTGTTTATTCACAAGACGTGCGGAGGAAATTGGCCGAATTGCTTGCGGGGCACACGGCTGGGCAGCTGGCGGCGTTGCAAGAGGGGGATATGCTTCCGCAGATGTTGGAGCGCGAGGCGTCATGCGGATTGAAGCAGTCACACGTCGAAGAACATCACGAGGTGGTAGAGCGACTTGATGCTTATTGCGGACTTATTGCGATGAATGGCGTTGTGCGTGATCTCGAGGAGTTTGTCGTTTGGCCGCTGCTTCACTTGCAACTGCTGCGCTGCTGTGGGGTGAGGGCTCCGAAAGGCGTTGTTGTGTGCGGTCCGTCAGGAAGCGGGAAGACAGCGCTGTTGAAAGCACTAGCGAGTCGACTGCAAACCGAGGTTGCGCGCGGGGTGCATGTGATGTTTGTTGATGGTCTTTCACTTATTGAGAAGGAGGTGGGGCGCACGGAGAAAAACATTGCCGCTCTTTTTTCCACCGCGAGAGCTATGTCGCCCACCGCACTGTTTCTCGACAATATTGACAGCCTGGCACCTCCGCGCGGACGGCAAACAAGTGAGGTGTCGAACACGGCCGATCGCACGCTCAGCACGCTGCTCACAGAGATGGATGGCATCAGCGATAGCACCAACGATGGGGATGTTGTTTTTGTCGTTGCGTCTGCGCCGTGTTTTTCTGCACTTGATCCGGCCATTGGTCGTCCTGGTCGTCTTGATCTCCACCTTGAGATTCAGCTTCCGACAGCGAAGGAACTGCGAGACCACGTCGTGCAGCGTGTCGTGGCGTGTGTGGAAGACTGCGGTGGCAGCGACGCTGCGGGTGACGTGGGAACGATCTCAACTCTTGTGGAGGAACACGTGGAACGATGGATGAACATGCGTCGCGTCACCGTGGCGGAGGCAAACGCTTTTGTGCGTGAAGTGGTGTTGTGCATGGTGGAGGAATCCTCGCGTAATTTATTGGATCGACTACGGGAGGCGCTGCGGAGGGCCGCATCCTCGTAGAGCGCTCCGGCCTCTTTTTGTGTTCCGACTTTGCTACTCTTCCACTCCCCTATTTTCTCTCTTTTTTCTTTCTTTTTTTGTTTGTAGTGTCTCTTGTTCCTTTTTTTTTTTTTTTTTTTCTCACGCTTTAAATCTTCATTTTTTGTTTGTTTGTTTGCTTTCGGCTTTTCTTCTTTGTGCTTGTGTCCCTCTCTCTCTGTGTTTATGTGAGGAGGGGGCAATTTGTGTTGTGAAGGAACGAGAAAGCATTGCGTGATGGTCTTGCTGCAGCGAACAGCCGCGAAGGAGTCGCGTCTGCAGACGCGGATGGCGGCACGCTATCAGCACGTGTTGGGCGCCTTCCACGACGGTGTGCGGGAGTTCAATAAGCAGCTGGACGAGGAGCAAATGCTGCAACTTTTGAACCTGAAGGAATTTCTGCGGCGCAGCCACGAGGAGTGGGAGGAGAAGCTGCGGGCGGAGATGCAACGCGTGGAATGCCACAAAAATCAACTTGCGCAGCCCATAGTGAGTGACGCGGACGATGTCCTGCAGCCCTTCACGGACCATTATCACAAGGTCGAGGTAACCATTGACGATAGTAAGGCCCGGCTGCAGGATGAGCGTCAGCGTCTCCTTCATTTGTGCGTCGAATTACGAAATGCGCATCAAATGCGTGTTGATGCCATCGCCGTATGCGAAGAGGCCTTGGAGACACGTGAAAAGGAGAGACGTGAGCGGCTCAAGAAGACTCTTGTGGAATTTGTAGAGGCACTGACAAAAATCAGCTACACAAGCATCGGCGCTTCCCACGTCATGGCGCAGCGGGCGATTCATGACATCAACGAGCATCTCTGCAAAAACCAAGCTGGTAGGAAAACATTGTTGGCACAATTGCGCTGCCGAGAAATCTTGCGGCAACGGCACTATAGCCGCCAGCTGGCGGATGTGTACGGTGTGTCGCTGGAGCTCATGATGCGTAGTAGTTTACAGTGGGCAGTAACTTTGCTAAAGACGGCATATTTTCGCCGACCGCGGTGCCGAATGCAGGCGTTGGAAAAGATCAGCCAACTGGTTGGCAGCATAAGACGTGATGGGACGCAATTTATTGGTAACGTGGCAACAACGGTGCAGACGCTGCGGCGCGCACGTGATCCACAGCCGATGGAGTGCGGCCAGGTGTGCGGCGGCACGCTTCCCGATGGCTGGCTACGCAGTTTTGATTCTTGTCTCTTTTCACCCGTCTTTCCGGTGAGTCCCTCGGAGGTGACGATGGAGTGGCGTGTAAAGGCGAACGTTCTGGTGCGTAACATCTTGGTGCAGTGTGCCACAGTGGCGGAGGAAGTCCGTATTGAGGAAGAGCGGCTGTGTGAAGAGGCGGAATTGATCCTCAAGGAATTGCATGCCCTTGTGCAGTGGGTCTGCCAGCCGGAGGAGAAAGAAACGGAGATGCTGGAGAGGGCCTCATTGCATGGTGTAGATGATGTGTATAAGCGCTTTACCAATGCGAATGCCGCGCTGCACGCACAATTTAGTGGGGAGGTGGACACCGAAGTGTTGCCTTTGCTGGCAACCATCCGACACGAGAGTGAGTGGTTCACCAGCGCGGTGGAGGTCGAGCTGAATGGTCAGCACGGGACACTTGAAGGCTTTCTGCTCACTGGGCCGAGCAACGTTTTGCTGACATTTGAGAAGGCGACGAACGCGTTGGAGGTGACGGTGACAAAGGCCTTTGGGTTCATTCGTTCGCGTTTTATTGAACTCTATGAGGCACGTAAAGACCACGATGATGCCCTGCAACGCGTGGAGGCAGAACTCGCACGGAAGCAAAAAGAGCTGCAGCACTCGACAACAGTGGAGGCGGCGGAGAAATTTTTTGTCGAGAACCTTGTTATCCTTGAACGCATCGCAGCGCAGCACGCGAATTTCCACCGCCACACCGTGCAGTCACTGCAACGCATCGTGCTGGAGGGGCAGACGGAGATGGAGCAGCACTGCGCTAATTTGTTGCTGCTCTTTGGCCTTGAAAGCGAGGAGGCGTGCGTGCGGCGCGAGCGTGAATTGGCGGCGGCAGCAGCGGCAGAGGCGGCCGCGACGAAAAAAGGGCGCGGGAGGGGTGTTGTGGTGGAGTCGGACTCCGAAAGCGACGAGGAGACGATGCCACCGTACCCAACCATCACCGCAGTGGATGGGCAGCTGTATTTCATCATTGGACCACCGGCACTGGAAGACAATTCGCCAGCCTCACCAGAAGTTGCATCGCCGCAGTCGTCGCAGCAAAAAAGTCGGAAGAGCGGCGGGGGTGATGTCAGACGCAATTCTTCGACGTCAGGCAGCAAGAAGTTGTTGTCTCAGTCAAAACAGAGAGGCAGTAAAAAGATTAAGGACAACCAATCCCGGAGTGAAAGCGGCGCAAACTCCAGTCGACGTTCCCCGGTGCTGAGTGTCGTGCTACCGCCCGCCTTCTTGCAGACGTACGAGGCGCTTCTAAAGGACGCGCTTAAGGAAGATGGCGGGACGACGTCCCTTTCGCTGTCTACCGTTGAGGCGTGGTGCGAGATGCTACGGGTTGAAGTCCTCAACTGGACAGTTCATCTTCGCCACGCTTCAATGGAGCATCTGCAGAAGCAGTGCAACGCACAGAAGTCCGCGGTCGATGAGGAGACGAATGAAATTCTGCGGCATCACCGCCGTCGCCCTGCCAAGATGCAGTCTGAATTTGAGGGGCGAGTACGCGAGGTCGAGGCGGTGCACTTGAAGAAAGAGAACCGCTGCGCTCGTCTGCGGGAGAGTTGTTTGGCGCTTGAAACCGCCTGGTCTTCTATGGTAGCATTTGGCGACGCAGAGGCCCTCAGTAGCCAACTGTTCGAGCAGCTTCAGGAACTGGAGAAAATGGCTCCGAAGACGAACGCGATAAATGCGCTGGTGTCGCAGGAACGGAACTTTGCCTCCCTTGTCTCTTCCTCTTTGGAGGCTTATACTAATCACCATTATGGGATTTTGACGGATTTCACAAGGCAGAGGGAGTCGTTGGAGTCGGAGTGTCGTAGTTATCTCCTTGGCTGTGGGAAGAGTGTTCCTGATAACCTGGACGATATTCATGACACGAGCGCATGGGACGATTGCAATGACAGCAGCTGCAAAGAAGTCATGGACACCCTGCTGCGGCTTCACAACGCCGCAAAGGCTTTCAAGGAGAAACTCAACTCAGAGCGCGAACAACACGTGCGGCGCTTGGACACGATGAAGTCCAATTACACGGCAGTATTTGAGCAGAACGCCGGGGAGCTGCAACTTTTGGCGCGTCTGCAGGAGATATTGTCACGGCTCAAGGTGCAGGTACACTCCCTTACGACACTCTCGGAGACCAGCGAGGCGGAGATTGAGGAGATGCTTAAGGAATTGGAGGAAAAACTCTCCTCGCAGTCCTTACCGTATGACTTTTCCAGGGCGGTTGTAGAGATGGTGGGTCGGGAGTATGGCGTTTCTTTCAGCAATGCGGAGGTGCGGTCGTCGACTGCTACCGGTCGTGGCTCCACTGCTTCTTCCCACGCCGTCACGCCCACGAAGAAAGTACAAAAAATGGCAAGGGGTGCGGGGGCAGGTGCGATCACATTGACGCAAGACCGCACACGTGAGGTGGAGGCGGAGTTGAGTGGGCGGCTGGCAGATCTAAGGATCGAGACGCAGCGGCAGATTCGTGCGAGTGATCCGTCAAAAGTGATGCGTCTTCTTGATCACATTCGCGAGAAAATTTTTGTGCGTGGACGGCACCTTGACTGCCTACAGTACGGCGTGGAGCTATTTAACGTACCGCAGGAAAACTACATCGATCCACGTCTTGGCGCTACTTCTGACGCAACCGCGGAGGAAGCGGCCACGACAGCAGCTGGAACGACAACACCAACACCATCAACTACCTCTTTTTCTTCGCAAGGACGCCCACGGAGTAAGTCGAAGTCTTCTGCAATACCGAGTTGTATGATGGCCGCGCTCTACACAACAACTGAACTTCCGGAAGTTATTCCTGCGGAACGGCAATTAAACGAGTGGCTTGCGGTGACGAAATCACAGGTGGAAACTCTGACAGACCACCACTTTTCTATGTACCCGCCACCGCTTCTGCGCCGATTGCCCGGCATGTCGGGGGGGAATCTCAAGGATGTCATGGAGATGTGCAATCAGGTTTGTGACCAACAGCAGCGAAATGTCTCTCAGTACATGGTGAAGGCGGTGCAACGGTACCGCGAGCAGGTGCAGCGCCTGTCCGTGGCGCTGCAAAAGATTCCAAACTACCTGGTTAATTCGACGTACACCTTGTCCTCCACCGCAATGGAACGACGTGTAGCGGCGGTGTTTGATGTCTTTGCCGGCTTTTATGGCGACTCGGATACGCTGCGGTCTATGCACGATCGTCTCGCTAAAGTTACCCTCGCATCGAACTACAACCGCGATAAACTTAATGCGCTGTGCGAAGCCGAAAAAGCCCGGCAGACCGTGACGCATGCAACCATCGAAAAAATATGGGGATATGCACTGCGTGAGATAGAGGACGAGGCCGCCATGCATGCGGCAAGAAGTCTTAATGTAAACAACAATTTTTTTGCTTTATTGCGAGGAGTTGTGCTGCCGGAGAATTTAAAACCCGCCGATGACGATGGGGGCGATGGTCGACACCGAGGGCTTCGCAGCCTGCTGCGTCTCAAAGCAAAGGAGAACCGCACGAAAGAGATACAGCAGCACTCAACGAAGCGAGAACGGAGGCTGCGTGAAACAATGAATCGCCAGTCCCAGGGCAGCACAACGTCAGGAGGCAAAAAGTTGGACCCTTACCCTGCTGCTGAGGCGCCAAATGTACTGCTGCCCGTTCCAGCGCTGCAGGAAGTGGAACACGGTCGCGTGCCTCTCCGTGCTGTGCGGCCGCTGGAGATGTTCAGCGCTGAGCACCCGGATGCCGAAATCGCTGCACCAAATATTGACATCACATCCGCCTTTGCACGCATTTCAAGGTTGTCGCGTTTATATTCTTTGGCAGGCAATCGACGGCAGAAAAATGATGCTTCCAGTGTGTCTTTGGAGGAGCATGCGCCGGCTGTCGCCATTGTTGCGCCGGAGACCCCTTTGCACATGGAAATGGCAAAGCTTACCCAGCAATCGGTAGAGCATTTTAACAATACCTCCTCGAACGCTGTGGAAAAGGCGAGCGGTGCCTTTTCAGAAGTGGACTGAG